ATAAGGTCACGTTCCATGCCTGTTTTTATTAACTATAGTCAAGACAGCCAAGCATGTGTGTAACTCTGCTGAATGAACGAAGTGTGCCAATGCACCCTCAGGTTCTGAATATACCTGTAAGGTCTGAAAATGCTGCTCAATGACCAAACCACTATTGTGAGAAGTCTACCCCAAAGTGCATGAGATTTTTGATAATTTATTGGAAATGGAATGACTTATGGGTGTAATTTTATATGTAATAATAATGTAATTTCTTGTAAATGCTTTTATAAGAAAATAAAGAGGAAAAAGTGATTTGTATTTATCAAGTTTAATGACTCCTCTGCCTACCAGTCACCAAGGGGTAGACCACGGGAAATAACCAAATCTAGCTCCTGGCACTGGAGGCAGAAAATTCCCACAGAGGGATTTCCGATCGAGTCAATACGAAACCTGCCTATTTTAGAAGAGTTTAAAATGCTGCACTTGTACTGTGTACGCAACGAGACAGAGGCTGGCGTTAGAACGTTAAGGGACAGTGTTACTCTGCTTAGATTAGTTGATAAGTTGATTCCACAGTAAATGAAAACAATACACACAAATCCCGCTGTGAACATGGACAGGGCAGCAGTTCTCAGCCTGTGGGTCGTGACCCACAGGAACTGTATCAAAGGGCCGTGGCATTAGGAAAGTTGAGAACCACTGGACTAGGGTCACCCACTTTGACTAAGTCTGCCCTACCTAGAAGCTCACACCCTTCAGGTGGCAGCCTGGACTCCGGCGCAGGGCCGCACAGTCCAGGTAGGCAACAAAGATCCCTGAGATTTGATTCTCGGCCGTCCTCTGACTGCGTTCCTAATTACTCCTTCAATATACCAACAGGAAACACCTTAGCTATTGTGACGCTCTGCCAGCTGGGCTCTGCTCTGAGCACTGGGCAGGGCTGGAGGGGCACTCTGAGCCCATCCTCTACCTGTCCCCAACACTTGAAAAACGCCCTGTGCACTCTGGAGCTCATGAACAGCCATCAGCAAAATTTCTTACAGATGTTCAATCTCTTCTCAGAACATTATTAATTTACTTCAACCACTTATGCCCGTGACTGGAAGCTAAGCTTTGTCACACTGTGACCTCCACATCATCTCCATGTCTGGCACCACCTCCTGACTAAAACTCACCCCACAGGGCTCCAATTCCAGCAAGTCTGCCGTTCTCACAACCTCCCATCCACTGATCCATCAACTCTGTGTCTCCCCTTTCAAGTCCTCCCTCACACTCTCAACTTCCACGGCCCATCACTATAATCACCACCCCCATAACTAACTCCCTTCCCTTTTCTCTCTTTGTGTTGCTCTGATAAACTAAACCCCAGCCAAAACCAACTCTCTATCTATCCTGCCCCTCTGCGACCAAACATGAAACCCTTCCCAACGGGTCTTACACCAGCTTTGTGAGGCAACGGGCCCAGGGGCCCCAGAACGTCGTCCTGCAGTCTTCCACACGTTCCTGACCCACTCTTGGAGAAGGCTAGTTCATGTCACCTTTTTCTTCCCAGCCTCATTCTCAGCAAGGATCTTATTCACACCTCAGCCAGAAGCAATCAGAAGGGGCTTCCCCAGAGCCCCCAGGCCTCCCTATGCTCATAGCACCACAGAAACGGTGTCTGAGGACGCGGCTGCCCCCACCAGATCTCAAGCCTGGCTCCTCGTCTTTCCAACAACTGTCCCCTCAGTACACATCACCAACTCTTCTCTCTCTAAAACTATTCCTGTCAATAAACAAACTTGCTATCTTGTGTTCCACCTTGATCTCACTCCCTGCTTCCCTCTTCAGAAAAAAAAATGCAAACCTGACAGCCACTGGCTGGGATGGCCGGGCCGTCTCTCTCAAACCCACTGCACTTAGGTTTCTGTCCTTGTCTTCCACTGAAATGCCCTTCATCATGGTCACCAACGGTCTTCATCTAGATAAATCCAGTAATGTTTTCACACCTTACTGACCCTCCCTCTTCCTTCCCACCTCCAAAACAACACAGCCCCCAGGTGTCCCCTCTCACTGGCTCAGTGCCCTCCCCAACACCAGCCATGCCCACAGCTCCTGTCCATCTGGACCCACTCCCGTGACA